CCTCGCATTGGTCTTATCAACACCCTCAGCGGGACTCGAACCGCGACAGTACAGGACGGTAGCTTGACACACTAACCACTCGACTACACTGCCAAGAGCGCCTTTTGGGTCACAAGGCAAATGTGAATGTTCAAGGAAGGCCAGGCCTTTTTGCCATATCATATGTTTTTTTTGTGGAATTTTCGATGAAGCAAACGTATGTTTTACTATAACAATCAACTACTATACTTTATTTTTCGAATTGAGTATTGTTTTTCGTGACAACCAGTAAATCAGTCATAAGATGTATTTACCCAATTTCGTTTAAGGTGATGAAGGACTGGTAGAAGTAGAATTTTCCCACAAATGATACGAGTTGGACTGACGTTTCCATTGGATATTTACCATCCTGCACTGTCGCGGTTCGAGTCCCGCTGAGGGTGTTGATAAGACCAATGCGAGGTCGAAACTGCAGTCCACTCTGGATGAGAACAACTTTTGGGAATGCAAAGCTATGTAAATATTCAATGGAAACGTCAGTCCAACTCATTTGTGGGAAAATTCTACTTCTACCAGTCTTTCATCACCTTAAACGAAATTGGGTGAATACATCTTATAAAAATAATTTGGGCGGATTCCTTGAGCTGATAAATAGAATAGATGCAAATACTAAGTTTGCCATGGAGTTAGAAAAGGAAAAGAAATTGCCTTATTTGGATGTATTAGTGAGCAAAGAAGGTCTGGAAAACCCACATTCGTGGGTTTCTCCAACTGTGCATATGGAGTGAAAATAAGAGTTATGAAATGAATGCAGACGTAAACCACTGGCACCAGGTCGGAAGACTGGCGTACATATTATGTCAAAACAATTACACATTAGGATTAGCAGACAATTACATATCAATTGTCAGTAACAAGATGAGAGGAGTTTGCTACCTGGGCCGGGATAGGCAGTTGGAACAATCTACTCTTTTTCAAATTTTGTCTTCCCGTCAGCTTGCGAAAATGTGGGGTGATCTACTTCCTAAGTGGAGCATGAGACAATGTATAAAGAGAAATTGACACTTTTTTTCGGTACTTCTTTCGTTTGGACAATTTTCAAGCTGCTACAAGGTTTTGTGCCCATGTGGGGCAGATCTGCCGACCTGCCCAGAAGAGACTGCGAACACAAAACCACTTGGAAAGTTTTACGGGTCCAAATATGTGAACTCGCTGAACACATGACCAGTACAGGAGACTCGATAGACTGGTCCAGTTACGAGGACTTCATATCAAAGCGTAAGATTGAGGAGTCTATAGAAAATTACAAAACAAACAACGTCCTGAACGGAAGGAACGAGTGCAGAAAAGTGAGTATGAACTATTTGTGTCTGTTGGATAGGCTTAAGGAGAGGGAGAAAGAGCCACTGAACATGAGAAAGTTAGATGACATGAACAGTAAATACACACAATATGCAAGAAAAAGTTAGGTTTCGAACAATCTCTTCTTTCATAAATGTTTAGCCTACTTCAATTTAGACTGAAAGTGTCCGGTGAAGAGATGCAAAGGTCGATCCCACCAGAAGACATACTTGTTGACAGTGTTTCCGATGTAACCTCCTTCGATTCCGGTGAAAAGGTGCTAAGCTTTCGTCTGTCGTGTGACGAACATCAGAGCAAGGTATCATACTTACAACCAAATTGAAGCAAACGCGTCAAGAAAAATCATCAGCACATATCTAAAAAACTCTATGCTCGACTTCTATGATAAGGTATAAAGTAATTTGGTCAATTCCAGTCATATGTCAAGACCGAAGCATGTGAATTTGTCCATCTCTGTATGTATTCGCACATGTACAAAACCAGCATAAATGGCTCAAATTGATTGGGACAAGCAAAAGTAACGTCTGTTCTTG